GACCTGGGCTGTGTTGGATTTGGAGGGGCCACATGTGGGGTAATTTTGGCACACCTTCCTCGTTAAAATTTTCTCAATGCTTTTGCAGAAAAACATTTCTATATTAATAAACATGAAAGAAAAAGTATTTGAATGCAAAATACGCATAGATTTAAGATAAAAAATTCAACTTCAAAGAAACCACGCTGCCTCCAGAAGGCTCTGCAGGATGTGCTCTCTTGTGGCCATCAGAGCAACACAGAAGTGCTGACATCTTTGGCCAATTTAAATTTCACAGCGATTCTATGAGGTAGATATTGTTATGCCTACAGGTGAGAAAACTGAGGCTCAGCAAGGGGACAACGTGGTCAAGGGTACACAGTTAATCAGCAGCAGAGTCATAACTAATCCAGGACCTCCAGGCAAAGCCCATGTTCTTTCCACAGCAGCCTGAGTGGCTGATAAATGAAGCATGGTAGGAAATAAAGCTGCAGAGGTAGGTTGGTGTTAACTCATGGAAGGTCTTGAATGCCAGACTGAAATAAAGGTAGCACGCAAAAGAATGCTCACAGCCCACAAGCGTTAGACCTGAAGGAGATGGTGAGGACAGGAAGCACAATATGGCCGTAAGAGATGTAGTTATTCTCATCCCAGCTTCTTTGGGGCCACCTCCTCTCCCTAGGACCGAGTGTGACCTGCGCCCAACAGTGTCATTGTTTCTGCAGCAAAAGAAGGCACATGCCCCTTGTTTCGATGGTTTTCTACTTAGTGCTGTTTGGCAGAGCACAGAACACTCAGAATCATTGACCAGCCGATTCTTGAACTGAATGCTAGAGAAAGCGCGTTAGCCAACTGTGACTTCTCCTGGGGTGTCGTTCCCACGACTAGAATACACCCCACAGTCAGTGCGACAGGAGAGGACAGTACTATTGCGTCTGAAAGGAAATCAGTGGAGAGCGGGAACCTCTAGGGGCAGGTGCAATTTTTGAGATCTATTATTTTCCATTTGAAGGTCAGTGGGACAAAACATTGTGCTGGTATGAAAATCAAGAGATTTATGTTGGTTTCACAGCAGGGGGTGTCGTTCCCACGACTAGAATACACCCCACAGTCAGTGCGACAGGAGAGGACAGTACTATTGGGTCTGAAAGGAAACCAGTGGAGAGCGGGAACCTCTAGGGGCAGGTGCAATTTTTGAGATCTATTGTTTTCCATTTGAAGGTCAGTGGGACAAAACATTGTGCTGGTATGAAAATCAAGAGATTTATGTTGGTTTCACAGCAGGGAAAAAAAAAAACTGTGGGAAGGACTCCAAAATGGTAACTTGGTACAAATACAAAGTGAAGAGTTATTTGAGGCTTGAGAAAAGTTGAAAACTGCTCCTTTGACTAGGAGATGGTTGCTACAGTTTGCAACTCAATGTTATTACCTTTCTTCTTTTCTTTTTCTTTCTTTAGTATCTGTTCAGAGAGTTTATTAAGAAACCAGCCAACATCCTGGAGATCCTCGGGCCACCTCAAGTACTGCCATTTCTGTACGAACCCTCTGATGGACTGATGCTTCATCAACTGGTACTGGGACAGGGACCCGACCACCACCATGATGAGGACACTGCTGAGGTCAGATAAGCACCTGCTCTGAGCGTAACTGAAGGCTTCAAGGCACCACCCATCTCTAAGGAAGTGTCTGCTCACAAGACAAACAATCTTTCTGCTGCTCCAGACAGCATCCTGGATGTTGGCGATGTGGTTTTCCCCTGGGACAAAATCTCTTTCTTCAAAGCACAGATTAAATCTGTTTTGCTCACTGTACTGAGTATCCAGGTGTTTGAGCAAAGCATTCTGTACCCATTCGAAGTCTTTGCTACTGAAGCACAAATAGGCATCATATTTGTATGCATCAGGTTCTGTTCTTTGGGAATGGTCCTTGAACACCAGTCTCTGTGCTGTCTTATAACAGATGAAACAAAAGCCCCGGAACTTCGTGACTATAAGGACAGTCATGAAGAACAGAGTCAAAGTGACAGTGAATAAGATGAAAAGGGCAAACCTTAGGGACTTTAAGACTTCCTCTTCATCACAACCCTCTGTGGAAATAGAGTAGAGGGAAGCTCCAAAGAACGAGTTAGGGTACGTGCAGTATATGTCTGCAGGAGACCCAAATATGGTGACACTGGTTTGATTGAGCCAATTGATAAAACTGGTAAGTTCACACGCACAAACGAACTTGTTATGAGTTATGTCCAAGACACTAAGTGATGCAAATAACTTAGGATCAGGAGATAGGAGCTGGTTTCTGGATACATCCAGGATTTCTAAATTAGCAGGTAAATCGCCAGGAGAAAGAACTGTCAACCTGTTGGAGTTGAGGCTAAGTCCCCTTAATGCAGTCAGATCACTAAACACTCCAGGTGGAAGGAAATTAAGGTAGTTATTATTCAAATACAGAACTTGGAGATGGGAAAGCCCCTTAAAAACATCCCAACAGAGCCCTGCTTCCCAGGCAAGTTGCAACATATTTTCTCCAAGGAAAAGTTGTTCCAAGCTGAGATTCTCTGGAAGGGTATGACTTTGATTTCGACTACAGGAGGAAAAGCGATTTTGATTTAAAATAAGAATCTGGAGATGAGGAACCTGGAGAAGGAAGTAGAGATCATCCAGTTTCTCTAGCTTGTTCTCTGATAACTGGATGAAGTTGGCTGTAAGGCTGATGTTTGGCAAAATCACCAGTTTATTGCCACCCAAGAAGATATTAGGTATGCTTGGAATAAAATAAATGGTTTTAAGAGCATTGTCCCGGAGATCCAAGGTATTTAATTTTTCCAGGAATTTGAATGTTTGGTCCTGAATTATCCCAATGTGATTCTTTCGAAGATCAACGTAGGCTATGTTAGGTAGTCCATAGAAATTGGAATTATAAAGTTCCCCCAGAAGATTATATGACATATTGAGAATTTGGAGGTTGCTGAGTCCATAAAATGCTTCGTTTGCGATCTTGTTTATCTTGTTGTGGGCGAGGTTCAGAACATTCAAGTCCTTGAGTGTCTCAAAGAGCCGGGAGCTCAGGGAGAAGATAAACCCATGAGAAAGATCCAGGCGTGTCACTGAGCTTCTGGCCAGGCCAGCAAATGTGTTCTGGTCAGGATCTTTGATGTTATGGAAGCCAAATCCAGAACCCATGATGTGGTGGGCAAGAACCAGAGAGAAAGTCTGGCTTCCACTGATGGCATTGCTAAAGTTTCCTGCGATGTCCACTGTCCAGCCGTTGCCAGAAACATCTAGGGTTTCCAGCACCATGTTTCTGAATGGGTTCATACATTTCTGCCAGTCCACGGGGACTTTGCTGTACAGGTTGTTATGTGCGAGGCTAAAAAAGGAGAGCGTTTTCCCTTGGAGGGGCTTGAGATCGCTCTCACATACAGTGAATATTTGGTTGAGGGAAAGATCTATGGATTTTAAGGAATTCAATTCCTGAAATGAAAGATGAAGGTAAAGGCTACCAATCTGATTTATGGATAGATCCAAGCGAGTTAAAGACTTTAAATTTCTGAAATAGCCGTCTTTTAATACAGCATCTGAGAGACCACAGGAAAACAGTCTAAGTTCAAACAGATGGGACAGTCCCTGAAAAGCATCTGGATGTAAGAAGTCTATTTGACTTTTGCCCAGGTCCAAGATTCTAAGATTGGGCAGGTTTCTGAAGGCCTCTCTGTCAATAGTCAAGGGGGTAAACTGGGTCCCGAGCTCCAGCAGCTGTAGCTGCTCCAGGAATGGGAATGATGTCGCAGTGATCGTCCTGATATAGTTGAAGCTTAGCAGGAGGCTGTCGGTGGTGTTGAGGATCTGGGGGACCTGGGTGAGGTTGCAGAAGCGATATAAGGCTATCCGACCATCCAAGGAGCAGGAGGAAATTCCAAACACAGGACTGGCCATGAGCACCACTCCCATGAGAAGGTCAAGGTGATCTCCCATGATCCTATGGAGAAGGAGAATGAAAACACAGGCTTCTAAGCTCGAGGCGCTGCGCATGGGGCCTCAGGACGTGGGGGCTCCCTCTGTGATGTGCCCGCTCCCTCAGACCCCTCTGTTCCTCTGGTTCCATGACTGTGGCTGTTGGCAGACACTGCCTGGTGTAGACAAACCTGCTCTTGCTCTATCAAACACTTGTGTTGCACTTTCTACATACTAGGCACTATTCTAGCTACTTTAAAATATTTTACTCAATCTTTATAATAACTCTGTTTGTTTGTTCATTCATTCTTTCAAGATTTGCTGGGGGAGGTTGGAGCAAACAGCAGGAAGCAACACATTTTTGCTTCGTTTCAGCCAGAGACCTGATTCCTAGCCCACAAAGGCTCAGCTGATGAGTGGAAAATAAATCTACAGCCTCCTGCAATCTGCTTAGGCTACTGTTCCATCTCTATGAATACAGCCTTACTCCATATACAGTACCTCTCACCATGTAGAAATTGGGTACATTATGTCATCTCCTCAAAGAGTCAGATTTGATCAGTTTAATAATAACGTATTAAGCACCTCCTGCATGCCTGGCATTTGTGTTGAATACAGCCTTACTCCATATACAGTACCTCTCACCATGTAGAAATTGGGTACATTATGTCGTCTCCTCAAAGAGTCAGATTTGATCAGTTTAATAATAACATATTAAGCACCTCCTGCATGCCTGGCATTTGTGTGCGTGTGTGCGTGTGCGTGTGTGTGTGTGTGCGTGTGTGTGTGCAGCAGTCCACTTAAGTCCAGTGGGGAGCTCCCCCTCTGTCTGGGTCAAGTGTTTGCTTCACATGTGCAGCAGCAGAAGGTGCTCCCGACGTGTATGGTTCGTGTCCCAAGCATTGTGCCAGGTGCAGTGAGCACATGAGAGAGCACACGGGGACCCCTCAGAGACCCCCAGTGTGCACCTGCACAGCTCCCACCTCCACTGTAACCAATGGCCTTGTCGGCAGGTAAGGAAAGCACTTCATGGCTCAGAAGGCAGGAGAATGAAGGGAAAGAAAAAGGAAGAAACAGGAAGAACACAATGGCTGGTAAAGAGCACTGATCCGTGAGCACCATCAGTGGTGAGTTTCAACATCAGAATAGATATGCCTGGAGCAGTCATGGTGGGGACCGATGGCCAGCTCTGATGAGGTTTGGCTTCGTGTCAGGGCTAATTTGTGGTGAGGTTTGCCCAGAACCCACGAGGCTAAGGCACACAAGATACAGCAGGTCAGAAGTAGGCATCGATTCCTGAGTTAACTCCAAGTATCAAAACCAGGCATTTAATAATCATTAGGAAAAACTTGGTGAGAATGTTTATCATCACTCAATTTCCTCGCCATCTCAGCTAGAGGCACAGGGTAACAACAGCAGAGTCGCCCTCATTCTCTTATACCCCACCCCACCTCCAGTCCATCGGCAGTTCCTGCAGGTCCCACCTCCCCAACCTGGCCACGACTCCATTCCAAGCGGCTGCCATCTCTTGTCGGGGCTAGACCGGGAATCCTCACTGGCCTCTCTTATTTCCAGTCTTGCTCTCCACCCTCCAAACAGCAGCCAGAGTGTTCTTTTAAAAACATCATTAGGTTGACATCATTCCTCTCTGCACAGGCCCTTCCTTTCCTCACCGTTACACTTGGAATAAAATCCTGCAAGGACTTATGTGACCTGGCTCTTGCATGTCTCTTCAACACCATCTTGAGACACTGTCTCAGTCCATTTCTGTTGCTTATAACAGAAACTGGATGATATATATAAAGAAAAACCAAATTTATTGCTTACAGTTTCTGAGGTTGGGAAGTCCAAAGCCCATCTGGTTGTGGCAACAGTGACCCATGGGTCTCACATTGCAAGATGGTGGAAGCAGAGAGAGCACAGAGGGACAGTTCCTCATGCATTGTCCTTTTAAAGTCCGCAGAACCATGCTTCTAACAACCATTTTTAATCCATTCACTACTGCACAGTCCTACAATCTAATCACCTCTTCAAGGCTCCACCTTTCAATTACCATAACAGGATTTCCCAACCTCTTAACAGTCACAGTGGGGCCAAGTTTCTAATACATAAAACTTGGGGACACAATTCAAGCTTCAGTGAGTTTTGGGGGGACATAATTCAATCCACTACAGCCATTTTCCTCCACAATAACTTATTCAACTAATATTTGCTGAGTGCCTAATCTGTGTTTGGCACAGTTTTAGGACCTGGAGGTGCAGCAGTGAACAAAATAGACCAAGTCTGCACTCATGGAGCTTACATTCTGGTGGAGGGAAGAGGTGGCAGAAAACAAAGGAAGAAACAGGTAATGTCAGGTACAGGTGAATGCTGTGGGAGAACATAAAGCAGGAAAAAGGGGACTGGAGTGCCAGGACTGGGGCAGCGGCTGACTGTATCAGTCTGTTTCTGCAGCTTATAACAAAATACCTGGAACTGGGTAATTTGTAAGGAAACAAAATCTGTTGCTTATAGTTTCACGGGCTGGGAAGTCCAAAGTCCAGGGAACACATCTGGTGAGGGTCTTCTCGGTTTTACAATGTAGGGGTCTCACATGGCAGGAAATGGTGGAGCAGAGAGAGAGAGAGAGACAGAGAGAGAGAGAGAGCTCCTCGTGTGCTCTCCTTTTAAAGCCTGCAGAACCATGGCCACGACCACCATTAAAACCATCAACTTAATCACCTCTTCGAGGCCCCACCTTTCAATTACCATAATAGGATTTCCCACCCTCAACAGGTACAGTGGGGATTAAGCTTCTAATATATGGACTTTGGGGGACACAATTCAATCCACAGCACTGATGTTTATAGGGAGTGGTAAGAAAGGGCTCTCTGATGTGATAATATTTGATCAGAGACCTGAAGGAAGTAAGGAAAAAATATGGAGAGGCCCAATATTCAAGGTGGAGAGAGGGGCCAGCACCAAGGGACTAGGGTGGTAGTTCCAGCCATATGGGGTCACATCTGCCATTCCAAGCTCATTCCGGCCTCAGGGCCTTGGCACATGCTGCTTCCACTGTACGAGCCCTCTTCTCTCTGCTCTTCACATGGCCGATTTCATGTCAGCATTTCCTCCGAGAGCCTTCGTCTGCACTCAGTATTTGAAGTAACTCCCCTGCCCTGTTACTCTCTCAGAACCCACCTTATTTATTTCCATCAAAGCAATTACCACAAGTCCTATCTTGCCTATTGTTTACTTGTTTATGGTCTATCTTCCTACTAGACTGTGTTCCCCATAAGTTCAGCGGGCATTTAGAAGGATGCACAGTGTTCACACACACACGCACGCACGCACGCACGCACACGCACGCATGCACACACACACACACACACAAGAATGAGAAGAAAAGAGAGAAAAAGTATGTTGAATGAAGAACACTGCCATCAATGGAAAGGCAAAGGCATCGGATTTGTCAGAGGACTTCTGTCTTTTGTAAGGAAGAAAATTGCATTCAATCTATAAAACTTTCTATGTAAAGCAGTGGGTCCTGATGGGGACAGTTGCCCCCTAGGTAGGCAAATTTTGTAAATTTGTAGGCATGTGTTTTGGTTGCCATGAGGATGGGGTGGGCACACCCCCAGTAAGCAGGGATGCTTATGTACATGACAGCCCTGTCCCATGCAGAATCAGCCAGCATCCACACAGCTGTAGGATGTCCTGCCAGACACCCCTGAGTGTGAACAACCTGCTCAAACTTACCTCAGACCCCAAATCTGTGTTACATGTCCACAAAGTATTTTTGAACTGTTTCAACATACACTGAATCCCCCAGGAATGCAACCACCTTGTCAGTCTAACAAAGATCGTACCTTGTTCAGTTTAGGACTTTACAAAGTTTTTCACCATTGCAGAAAATCATTTCATGATGGCCAACACCTCCGTGGAGAATCACAAACCACACTGTACCCTTCTATGTAACCTTCATGCAGACTGCATTTATGTGTGAGCAAATTTACTTTGCCCTCATTTCAAAATGTCAAATGTAATAAAGTTTAAGAAGTGTCAGTCAAATATTATCTTACTTCTCAAATCCAAACTTCTCGAGTGTCTGACTAACTCGTTTTGTCTTCTGGTGTAGTTGTGCCCAAATATTCACACATCAAAACACCCATCAACTCATTCTAAATTACTTTCCCTTTTATTTCTTTGTAATATGCCAGTTAGGGCATCATATTGACTTTTTTAAAATTATGTGTGTAGGTAGATTATGTTATTTCTATGAATTTCATTTCAAAACAGTACACGGGTTATTTCAAATATTTGTTATAAAAAGGAGACGGGGTGCGGCAGTGCTGCAGCCCAGAGACATGAAGCTTCCAGCTCTTTCCTATCGCATTCATTACAGGCACCCTGATGACTAAACCAGGAGTTCTTTGGATCCTATTTATTCTTTCTGCTACTTATTTTGTGGTTTTTTTTCTTTTGCGGGTGATCAGACTGGGTAATGAAAACGAAGCAGGGACTTACTTTCTCAGTGAATTTTTTGTGGCTTCAGAAGGGCCGCTGAGCTCCTGACCTTGTATCTGTAGATGACATACACATGGGTGTGGAGGCCACATTTTGGAAAATGGGATAAAAACTCCAAATGATCTCAACAGAATTACTGAAAGAAAATAGAAACCAATCAGGGCAGATGAGGGTGCCACAGTTCAGAAGAGACCCCAAAGGCCACACTGTGTCTCCTACCTTGAAGGTTTGGGACAGACCCCCTCAGGTGTCCTGGGAGAGGCTCTCATCTGTCCTTGCCATCTTCAATTATGTATTAATCATTTACGTCTTGCATATTTCCCCAAAGCATCTGATAATATCAAATACAAATCCTGATTGATAAAGCAAACCTATAAAGGAGATGATGTCTATAAAGAGAGATGATGTCACAAGGAACGAGATGAGAGTCTTTTAGGGCAAAGGGCCCTAACTCCAGCGCCGAGCTTCCTGGCATGAAAATTGCAGGCTGTGGTTCTAGAAGTCGGGACAGCCCCGGGGGCGCAGATAAAGGCATATGGTGGGACGTAGACCCTTACTCAGCAGTACCCGGGGTGAAGATTCCGAAGATGCACTTCAGAAGAGGCGAGAATGGGGGACTCAGCCGCCCAGCCCCCGGCTCCTCTGCTCACCCATCCTGCCATGTGACCCATAGAGATCTGCTTCAGAGATAAAAATACAGTTATTTCATGCCTTTCTGTACTTCGTAAGAAAGTAGGTCTGCATGGTATCTTTGTAATACGACAGAAGCCCAAATCATTTTCTTTAATGTCTATTTGTTCAGCTGCCCTTATCCACCCTACTTTTATCTTAGCTTTCCTATTATGGACTTGAAAGTTCCGTATTTTAGAACGTATTTTGCTTGGGGCTGTTTGTTGCTCTTATTACCACAAATTCAAGGTCAAGCCACCCAGTTCAGTGCATGCATTTGGGGGCCAGCACTGAATCGTCCATAAAAAGACAGAAATGAAACTTAAAAATTTAATTCTGCCATTCTGAGCTGGTGTTCTCACTCTCTTGTCTCTGCAGGGATTTCTCTGTCTGGTTACATAAAATGAAAATTCATTCTGATGTTTGGATTAAACAGCAGCTGCAAAACTGTCAGCAACTTGGGGGCCAAGTTAGTTTTCTTCCTGCAAATAATGTAGTTCAATATCGGAACATATTTATCTTACAGTCACTTAAACTTATTTGTGAAATCAAAGTTTCCATTCTCTTTCCATTCAGCACCTTGTGCTGACAATCCAGTGGGGGAAGGACCATCCAAGCACAGTTCCTGGAATGGCAGTCAGTAGCTAAAATGGGTTGGGGTAAATATTGAATGCACACTGATACAGGGCAAATCGAATCTAATGATGAGAAACAGGCAGTGCAGTTGCTCAAAACCTGGTCAAGCCTCAGAAAGACGACAGTCCAAGAGAGGGGCCCCTGCAGCAAGAGAGAGAGCAGGTGGAGATCAGCCGGCATCTGGCGTTGCTCTAAGGGGAATCCAGGAGAGAAGACCTGGTGACCTGAAACCCAAAGCCCCCAGATGTGTTGAGGCCGGGAGGGAGCAGGAGTGAGGTGGCGCAGGGCCCAGAAGCAGCCTGCGAGCCCACTGGCGGAGTGCGCCCTCGTGTGGCTGTCAAGAGTCCAGTTCTCCAGCAGCTGACAGAGGGAGAAACAGGAGGGACCAGGTCTGACACTCCCCAGGGGCAGTGTACACCTCAGTCATTATTAACAAGATGATTAAAAAGGAACGTGTAAAACCACTTCCATGGTCAGTTCTTCTGTCAGGGGACATATACGTTCCTTTTTTAAAGTCACTGCACTATGCAAAATCAGTGAAACCACAGACCTTGTGGGAAAAATGGGGCTGGGCAAAAACTTCATCAGTGGCACATAAAGGAAGGATAGGATAGGAACCTAATAAAAATGGCAGCACAGTTTTAGCCAAGTTAAATGGTTACGAAATATATAAATACTACAATAAACGTGGCACTTCACTTTGAAAAAGACCTGAAGTTTGCCTGTGGCAGTGAGCGCCAGAAGCGCTGCAGCTTGTGAGTCATGTGAGCTGCTGGGGGCAGCAGGGCGACTGGAGGGAAAACTGACACCTGATGTGGATGCGCGTGGCTCGGACACACGTGGAGAACTGAGGTAGTGGACAGATACTGGGGTGTATTTTGTGTATTCTTATGTGACTTGGCTCAGCTGCGTGCAGTTTTCTGACTTTACACGTAAGAAACTGTACATTAATAGTGTCCTCTAATACATCAATCTTGTTAGGAACAAATTCACATTTCAAGACAAGCATTATAGCAGAACTGACTGTACTATAATTCAAGGCTAAACAAGTTGAGAAGAAAAGATGCAGGTTCTATATACGCAGGATCTTCGAAAAGTTCATGGAAGGATTTGTATTATCTTTCAATTCTATTTTTCCACAAAGTTTTTGAAGTGCTTTCATATGATTCTACCCCCTGCACCTGCATGGTGGAGTTTGGAGAAGCCGTGGGAATAGCCTGGGAACCAGCCCTGGGACCATGTGACGCGAGCCCTGAGAGGCTCAGGGACTTGGGCAGATCACATTGCTTCTCGCAGCCTCAGTCCTCTCATGTTCCATTGAGAGACTTCTCAGCCCTGGCTCCACATTAGAATCACCTGAGGGGTCCTGAGACCCATGAAGCCTGGGCTTTCTTTCCACAGACCGATTAAATGAGACTGTCTTAGGGGCAGGGCTTTCAGGAATTTGTACTCTTAGCAAGTGTATGAATTTTATGTACACTCAAATTTGAGAATAACTGGTGTAAACCAATGATTCCCAAATTTGGCCACCCCTTGGAATCACTGGGGGACTTTTTAAAAAACTTTTTAAAAAACTACAGGTGTTTGGGTCCCACCTGAGAAAGGCTGACTTAGTTGGTCTGGGGTGTGGCTTGGGCATCAGAGTTATTAAATCTCTGCAGGTGATTCCAGTTGCAGGCAGTCTGATCACCTGCTCCTCCTGGTGCAACCCTGATTGCACCTTAGAACAACCTGGGATGCTTAAAAACACGACTGACTCAAAAAATTAAACACAGGATTACCAACATGACCCAGCAAGTCCACTTCTGGGAGTACACCCGAGAGAGCTGAAGGTAGAAACTCAAACAGGTATGTCTAAGCCATGTTCACAGCAGTACTTTTGACAAAAGCCAAAACGTGGAACTAGCCCAAATGTCCATCAATGAATGAATAAACAAACAAAATGTGGCATAATATATGATTATTACTAAGCCTAAAAAAGGAATGAAATTCTGACACGTGCTACAACGGATCAACTTTGAAAACTTTATACTAAGTGAAATAAGCCCATCACAAAAGAACAAATATTGAATGATTGCACTTATAGGAGGTGTCTAGAATAGGCAAATTCATAGAGACAGAAACTACAGTAGAGGTTACCAGGGGCTGGGAGGAAGGGGAGATAGGGGGCTACTGTTTAATGGGAACAGAGTTTCAGTTGAAAAACTTGAAATGATAAAAAAAAAAAGTTCTGAAGATAGATGGTGGTGAATGCGCTGAACTGCACACTTAAAAATGATTAAAATGATAAATTTTATGTATATTTTACCACAAGTAAAAAATAAAATTAAACCAAAAAACCACTACTAATATGCAAGCCCAACTCCCATATATTCAGGCTCCGTAGGCCTGGTGGGGCCCAGAAAGTGCGTTTTTTTTTTTTTTTGTCTTTTTTTTTCCGTGTCCGGCAATGGATCGCAACCCTCAGTGTCGCCCCCGTACCGGACTGGGACCGGCAACGGGATCGCAAACCTCAGTGCTGCACCTGCGCCTCGCTCAGCCAGTGAGTGGAACCGGTCTGTATGTGGGATCCGAACCCTCGGCGGGAGCGCCGCCACGCTTCCCAAGCGGCGCACTATAGCAGTGCGCCACCGGGCCGGCCCCAGAAAGTGCGTTTTATAGCTGTACCCCAGGACTTTGGTGCAGGTGGCTCTCAGGCCCTGCCTTGACAGTGCTGGTCTAAAGGATCCCTCCGACTTAGAAACTCCATGATCCTCTTTGAGGAAAAAGGGCTGGTAAGAAAATTTGAGGGCGGTTGAGTATTGGGTTTTTATTACTAAGGTTGGGTTAACTTGAATCTGGGGCTTTGAGAGGGAAACAGTAAGAGCATGATCAATGCAGGCCGCAGCACTCCTGCCAAGTGCTGTTCATTAACATAATGAGACCGGAGGGGGCGGGGGAAGGGTCAGTCTCCCTTTCATTTGAGTTGAATTCATTTAGTTTTAACCTCAGCCATGAGCTGAGCAGGTTGCCTTTCTTGACTTAGTGGCCTGGATGGCAGAGCTGCTCACCTAAGCCTGGGGGCACACGGGCTGAGGAGTCTATGCAGCAAACACCCCATCCAGCCTCTGCTCAGGGCGCCACAGTGAGCCTGCGAATACCCCCTGCCAAGCCAAGGTATTCCTGTGATGCTTTAGTGCTTGATGCCTAACAGATAATACCAGTAATGAGATCCTTGGCAGGGATTCCAAGCAGGGCCAGGCTGGCCAAAGTCGGGTGGCAAGCTGAGGAGAGAACACTTCTACTGGCAGTTGCCAAACCTGGGGTGCCACTGGAGCATGGAGGACTCGCTATTGGAGAAATACACTTCATTTCCAGATCAGTGCCTGGGAGAGTTTCTCCAAAGTTCACATAGCAATACAAATTCTGGACTATTCCTACATGTGGGTACAGAATGTGGGTTTAGCCTTGGATAAAGGCTCCAGGGCAGTGGACAGAGTGAACTCTTACAGGACAAAGACATTTTCTAGATGCACGGTGCAGCCTCCCATAGAAGCAAGCCAACGTATGGGTACCATCAAGTCCGAGGCACTGCTAGGGCCACAGTCCCTCACACCCAGCATTCTGCCTCCGACAACAGTTCCAATAAAACATATGGTGACTGCATTGCCCCAAGGTGCAAAGCTTGCTCCCCAGACACAACTCTTGCTGCCTTCACGAACCGCCGTGATCTCAAGGCTCTGCTGGAGCGACCTCTCCATTCGGCACCACCTCTTCCTGTGCTGTGTTTGGAATTTTTGTTTGCCCTGGAGTAGTTCCTCCTTGGCTAAGGCTCCCACTATGGGCCGATCACTGCGTGAGATGTTGAGTCCCTGCCCGCAAGGGGCTTAGGGCTCTCCAGACTCTGGAGCAGCGGTTCTAAGTGTGTGGTCCCAGGACCAGCAGCAGCAGTGGCCGCAGCACCTGGATCTGGGAGCAGCACAAATCCCCAGGCCCCAGCCCAGCCCCATATATTAGAAGCTGGGGGCTGGGGCTGGCCGTGTGTTTTGTCAAGCCCTCTGGTAGTTCTGAAGCACGCTCATGTCTGAGAACCACTGGGCTAGAGCTGGAGGGAGGCCAGCAATCTCCACTCATCACTGCAGTGCCACACAGTGAGCTACCTGCACCCAGATGCCGCACCCCACACGGCTGCGGGCTCCCCCTGCCCTCATCCTCCCAGTCTTCTGTAGGTACTATTACTAGATACCATTAGGGTAGGGATCATTTTACAGATGAGGAAACCAAGGCCCCAGAGAAGTTAAGGACTTACCTA